GGGGGGCTCAATCTGAAGCTGCGAAGGGGGGACCGGGATGTAATAAAAATCTACAAGTAAGTTGTGGAGAGTTTGCAAAATACTGCGATGTCGTTTTTTGGAAAGTATCTTCAAAGAAGAGAATAAATGAGGGATTCTTGAAAACATATTTTCAATGCTCCAATTGTAATGCCCTCGCTACACATAATATGTATAAAAAAAACCGCATGAAACGCCTTAAATCCAGCGCGTAGGCAAACGTGTTCTTTGGTGAGTGTTGGACACTTCTTATCAGCAACGCTGACGCCGTTTGTTGACATAACCTCACTTGAAGAACACTACACTAGTACACTACGAATTGACGAATTTCTCATCGATTTTCCGCGTATTTCTTATTTTTGATGGCTTCAAAATGCAGTTATGCTTTCCAACTATTACCTGGATGTGTCTTTGTGAGTAACCTTTGCCACTTTTCTATCGCAAGTCGTTCATAAGTTGTTCATAATATCATGTGAAGTGTCCACCATGCCTGTCCCTGAGCATGTGATTCTGACTCATCTCAGACCATCTTTCCAGCTTCTAAATCGAAGAAACCAACAGATCCTCCGATGATTCCTCACATTTTACCCCTAAACTTTAGTTTTTTTGATGCCCCTCCAGCAAAAGACCTATGAAATGATATCTGCTCTTCTGCTTACTGTGTCACCACATTTTCAAGTGAGTGTGGGTGAAGCGCCATGAACTTGGTCATGTAAACATGTGAAGTTTCTCTTCGGTGACCATAAGAATTTCTGTTAGGAACATTTGATGTAGTAGAATCCACCAGTAATCCATTGTTAGTGCTGTTTTGATGGGAAGGAATATCGGTGGTGTAAGTCAGCAATCATATAACTCTGTTTGCAACGTCGCAGACTTCCGATCATACTTTATTTTTGAAGTGGTAAACTACTTTAAGTCTATTCTGTAAAACTGCCGTGATTTTTCTTCTCTGTGCGAAGAAAGTTTTGTGAGAATTTCAAGGAATGATGTCAATTTGTTCTCTTTTAGAAAAATAACAGATGCGGAGATTTTCAGACACCGCAAACCAGGTATGTGATTGGGGACTTACGCCGTCAACATATTGATAAACAAACTACGACTGGGGGAAATTAAGAATGGATTAAAGTTGCATCAACCTGAATACATCAATCATCAGTGGTTAGAACAAATATTTTTCCTAAATGCCATTTTTTGATGTGACATTTGTGCATTCTTTTTTTTTGCCTGATTCTATGAAAATTTGAATGCTATGTTGCTGACTTCCTGTGATACCTACTTTATTTTTCTTCTTAATACTAGTCAACGTAATTTCTTGAACACTTCCTTGACTTAAATGCTCAACCAACAAAATACTTTAAATAAATTTGATGGTATGAAGTTGGCTCGTTTCTTTCTGAAACTTTCAAGTAGCAAATTGAAAAGAACCATGCTTGTAATACTGAGAAACCTGCAGCGGCTAAATTTTGATTTTATTTGGTATGATATTCCTTATGCCCTTCTGAGCACCACGATTTTAAAATTGAACTTCTCAGTGCTGGAAAATGAATATTTTCCAGCCTTCTATGCAGCTCCAGGTCCTCCTCATTTGTTTGGACTAGGTACAACTCGCTCTCAGTGAGTACCTTAAAACACAGTAGCCCTTTCCGTTAAGTTTTACTCAACTCTCAGTTGAGAGATTGATGCCAAGCCTGGGGTCAACCCCTTTATGTATGTGGATGGGGAAATGGAGCCATCTCTGCCCAGGTAGTGTTTTTAATTGTCTCCATTGTCCTTGAACAACACAGCTTTTATGCCCCTTTTTCCTCTTGAGTAAGGATCTTCATGGCCTGAATTGATAGATGTACATTGCTCTGGTCACTAAATCAATTCTTTTTTAATTCGCAACCACCAAGCAAACTGAATGTGTAAATTCTTTTTTATTTTTTCTCAGGAAATTCGAGGTTTTGCCGAAACACTCTGAAATCTCAGCTGTTGATTTTAAACACCATGTTATGAAAACAGTGAAGATTTTATTTGGCCAGGTAATTTTCAACATTTATTAGTAGTATTCTTTTTTCTGAGCATTAGCTCTTATTGCAAGCCAATGTTTCAAAGAAAGTACTTCTGTACTACACTGTAATAGTGATTAATTTAACACTCAATGTTATTTCAGAGCACCGGCCCCGAAATTAATCGATTGGTCCAATAAAGTCAACTATAGAATAAGTCCTCTCTGTTGATTTCTCCTTGAGTCCATGCCAAATAAGTTTACCCACTTTTAGACAGCAACTGAAGATCCACCATCTTGATTCTTGCTTTTACTTTCCATGCTAAAATGACGTCAGACGATTTTCTGTCGCAGTCTAAAAGTGTGTAAAATTATTTGGTGTGAGCTCTAGCTTTGGTTTTGGTGTCATGACACGTCCCAAACCTTTTTCTTTTGTCTGTGTCATTGACCACACACCATTCAGTTCAGGTATCTCAGTGTGGGTGAAAAGCGGGGCTTTTCCATCCTAATTTCACTTCAAGGAGTATTTTATTCCAATGAATAATCTGCTGTTCCAAAACCCTATTCTCTCCATGAGTATTCATAATGGAGAGTTTTTACTTTCTTCATGGGGCGGTTGTTTTGATCATTGTTGATTAAGATCAGTGCTTAGCAGAATTATGTGTCTTGTTTTTCCAGGATTTTCATTTTTACAACTGAAATAATTACAGGTATGAGTAAGATTTCAATAATTATGACATTCAAAAAGCAGTTTAGTTGATACCTACGCTGGTTTACGAAAATCTGTGAAACACCTATAAAAACTTGGGGATCTAATGATGGGCCAGTTTGAACTGATCACTGGACAGAATACAACTTTAAGCGTTTTAATATTTCATCTTACAAACTTCAAAGAAACCTTGATTAGCGCAATGAAAATAACTTAAATTAACTCCAAACCAAAGATATCAACGTTCTTATTCAGTGCTGGTCACTCAAAATTTAAATTTTCCACTTAAAAGAAAAACCAGCCTTTGTTAATCAAATTGCGCACTACAATGATTTTTGGTTCAGAAGGCTCCTTAGTTTAGCAGTGTCCTCACCCTGCCCTGTGCTGCTCGAAGTGTAAACAGTGTGCATCATCTGAGTTGAGAGGCGGAGATTGAGGTTGCCACATTTTAGTACATCAGAGGCTATTACAGTAACGCTTAGTGAGAGGTTTAACTCAAAGAGGTTTTTTTCATAAGCAGGAGGTCTGAATGAATGTGTCGAAAAATGTTTGTATCTTGGTCAGGAGTTATTTTACATAATTTTATTCCACAAATCGTTTTCTATGTGAAATTTTGATGAGAAAACACACCATTGTGCCTTCATTCCCACCTAGTCTAGTATTCCATTGTTGATACTTTCCTATTGTAGAGTTCATTCTGCGTTTGTAGTTCCTAAAAGTATCTAAGTATGAATTTGAAAAATTGTCCACATCTGAGGAACTTAAAGTTTTTCATCAGTGAGTGTCAATTTAGTTAAAGATGATTTAACAATGAATAAGTACTGTTCACTGTAACTCAATCATCATAACAAATAATTCAATGTCAGTTAACAATTTCCATCTCCTTAATTATTGACGGTTCATCATCAGAAATTAAAAACCACTCATATCAACCCTAAAACCTCCTATGTTTGCTCTCTTCAAAAGTTTTTACCTGGGTCACTTTGTTTCAATGAGCAGCGAGCACTAATGGTTTATTTTATTAACAATGGACCAAAGGTTTCCTTGGCTCTGTCTCTCAGCTCTTACTTCACAGGACGATAGCTAAAAAAGTTCTTTTACGTTGACTAGAAAAACCATTATTAGGGACAAAGTTTTGCAACATCTTCTCTATTGGGCTTCAGTAATATGTTTAGAACGATAATTTTAGTATTTGATTTTGTTTCCTTAGTTCTCATCAGATTTTTGCCGGATCTATTTCACAATTGCTTTATTTGTTTGAAATTCTCTGTTTTTAACCAAGTTTCCTGTTCTTTTTCAGGTGGGGATCAACGAATTCATTGAACTACTCTCTTATGATACGGTGAATCATCGAGGTATTTTTGTGTGCTCCAGAGAATTCTATGTGAAATTTCGTGCTGCCTTATCTTTGACAAAAAAATTTGAAGGTTTTAACTGCAGTTACCTTGTGAACAAAGTATCACCGAGTGCTCTGTCCTTGCTATCCAATAGCCGAACATATACCCACGAGTAATTTCCTCTATTTTTAACCTCTTTAAAATAATTTAATCAACCATGTCATACTGTCGCAAAGAAGGCAAAGATTTAATCATATTTGCAACAAAAGAAAACCACGAGCAACCTAGCTCAGTTACATTAGGGGAACCAGAGCAGGGCCCTGGCCTTATAAATCAAGACGGAACAATCAACTGGAACTGTCCATGTCTAGGGGGCATGGCGACTGGGCCATGTGGTCTAGAATTTAGGGAAGCTTTCTCTTGTTTCCACTACAGTAAAGAAGAAGTCAAAGGTTCTGACTGTTTTGAAGAGTTTAGAACAATGCAGAATTGTATGTCCAAGTATCCTAGTGTTTACGGCCATCATGATTTGAATGAGAATGACCGAGATGATGATGATGATGATGATTTTGATCTTGATGATAGAGAACCAAGTGGGCCAAATCCTAGCAAACCAAGCGGGTCAGAGGTGCAAGAAGTTAAATCAAATCTTGAAGGAAAAAGTTGAATATCTTTATTTGTAGTCAGTAAAGCTACGAGCTGTATTCTTGTGGGAGAAGAAGCTTGGATGTGATCGAACCATTTTAAAACGCAGTATGATCCTCATGTGTTAAGGCAGTCAACTAGACTGACTTCCTGGCTTCCTCTAATCGCTCATACTTATGAAAGTTTTTCGTTTTATCATGATAGTAGGTCACTCTGATCAGCAGTATTGAACGATTAATGTCCCATCTGTATTTGTGGCTAATTTACCATGTGAGGAAAAGTTGCAATGGTGGGAATATACAAAAGTAGTCCATTATCTGAACACAATTTGAAACAGACTCTTCAAGCTCAATAGTGTTAAAAAGAATGAGTGAAGAAGTAGAGAAGGTAAGGAGGGAAAAACCTGATGTAACTGGTTCAAGTCAAGCTCTGATAGTTGAAAATGGTTCATAGGAAATTCAAGCATCCTCTTTTGCCTGAGTATAGTGGTCATTGTCCTTCGTTACTTACAAGTTTTGTATGTTTTGCTTTAAGCTAGTTTTAAGGTGTTACAAATGTTTTGCACCTAGGGTAGTTTTTTGTCTTTATTTATCTTAAATCTGGATGAATATGTTTCATTTTTTTTACTGTCTTTTTTTTTGTTCTTAATCGCATAACATCAGAACAATCTCTGAGAACTCTGCACAGTCTTTAGCGTGTAAGAATGCAATAAAGCATGAGTTCTTAGTTTGTCAATTTTATTTTCCTCTAATCAAGCCATGACTTTCCAAACTGAAATTTGGCTTTTTGAACTGTCCAAAATCAATCACTTTATTTGAAAAATTTACAATACTTAAGGAAGTATTTCCCACCAGATTACACAGTTATTTTGAAATCATGAAAGATGAATTTTTGCCACTTCTCTTGTAGTAGGACATTCGTTTAGGAAAAAATTACAAAATCTGATCATGCTGATCATTTTCCAAATGACATAAGCCCCAGTCTCTTGAAACTGTATCATTCCCTCTGCTGCTAATTTTTGCGTGTCAATAAATGTGTGCTTCTTTAGATATCAATTTGTCTTTCTGAAATTATTATTGCTCAATAAACTTTGCAGTGGCGAACTCTTCTCTGAAAAAAGTGAGACTTGGCACTTATGTCCATTCAATCATCAAATCAAAAAAAAAAAAAAAAAAAAATTCAATGTCTAGTTAATTAGGGGGATAGTGAAATGCATTAAAAATGTGATATCTCTCTTTTTACCTGTACAGGCAATAATAATTAATTAAATTCTCAATTTTGGAATTTTGACGTTTATGTCATTTGGAGAATGGACGGTTCAATTAAACAAGCTACGGCATTCTTCCAAGAATGGGAGCGTAAACCTAGCCAAGCCATAACGTTTGAATTCGTCTCACTCTGAAGGCTTCTAAAGCCAAAATGTGTTTTTCTCAAGAGGATTGCCTCCTTAAACTATTTTGATAAGGGTCTATTTTTCAACAAAAATACTGTCACTTTTTAAGAAATGCAAAATTTTAAATGACTTTGAATGCGAAATTCTACAGGTTCTCCACCATTATGTCTATCTATAATATGCTCAATGTATACACACAAGATTTTAACCCAGATCTAATGAGAAAGTTACCCTCTGTGGAGAATTTTAAGGGATGACATGTGATAAACTTGTATACCTAAACTGTAGTCTCAAATTGAAGAATGAGCCGCAAACTTATTTTAATCCAAATATTTTATGCCATGGAGTACTAGGTAAATCAAGTTACTTGAAGCTCTTACTCAATCATTTGCTTTTGTCAGTAATAAAATTTGTAATTGTCAGGTCTCTCTTCAAAGAAGTGGGAAAAATAGAGACTAATGCTTTATTGCTCTCAGCTTGGTAAGGTTATTCTTTTAAAAAGCAGAAGGTTGGGTCGAGAATATCATAACACTTGATGCCAGGAGGTAGGGCTGCCTGTGGGTATCATGGGCCAATGCTTCTTTACCATCAGCTCAGTTGTTCAGAGAAGTCCAGGAGTCCACAATCAGACAACTTTCAAGAGGCTGTTTAGTGTGAATGCTGTTTTTAGCCCTTTATCATGACTCCCATGCACAAAATGTCGCAGTGTAAAATCACCTAAGTAAATACATTATTTTAAGTGTGAGAAACTTTAAATCTATATCAGGAGATCAGCTTCAGTTTTGTAGTACCCATGCCCAAGTGGCATGGCCTGCCAAACTATTCTGTGAAACTTTGAGGGAGGGAGGGGGGCTGATTAGGAGTCTTACAAAAGGGGACAGGGAGTACAGGGGCCTGCACCAAGTAATTTAAATACTTAACAAATTAATATTTTTCATAAAAAAGAAGAATTAATAAAACCAAAAAAAACTAGTGACAACAAGGAATCCTGCCAAATTTCAGTTACTTACCTACCTACTTGGAGGAAGGCCGAACCCAAGAAATAATAAGTAGAGAGTAATAGAATAATTAATCAAAATAAAATTAAAAGTAATGTCAAGAATTAAATTTCTGACCATTTTCCTGCGAATTTTTTATTATTTATTTAATATATATACATTAAGAAATAAATAAATAATAAAAAATTCGCAGCATAATGGTCAGAAATTCAATTCTTTTCATTAATTTTAATTTTAATTTTATTTTTATAGTGGCTGCTTCGCCAAGCATGTTTTTTAAATATACCTATAATTGGTGCTTGAGTCGGGCCAAAGAGATTTTAAGGAGGGGGAAACAAGGAAATGACTCGACCACAGCTCACAGGAGTTGAATACTCCACCATTTGGCGCACTCAACAACAAAATTTCAAACATTGACTTTTTCCAAATCATCTCAATGTAGGTAGTAGGAGGAAAGCTGAAGATTAAAGAGGAACGTCTCCAATGGTTGCTGGCGGTGTTCCCAGCCTCCAAAATGATCATTCACTGTAAATGCGGTTTCAACATTAAAAATTATGCAGATTATGGATTGAAATTTTGACCTATTGTCCTTGAGATTCAGTATTAAAAAACGTTCATAAATTGACTTGTGGAAATTGATATTTTTTACAACAAATCTGCTTCTCTGCTGCACTGAACAAATAGAGTTTCCGTCTGAGGGGTTTTAGTATCTGCCTCTCTCACTTTAAGTTTCTAACGCATGGAGTCGGCATGCACGAACAATTGCCTAGTCAATGACTCGTAGGCGTTTTATTGACGCAGTCAACTTCTCGCGTGTCGTCCTGGTCCGCTCTCTAAAGTCTCTCTCAAAAAAAGTATTCACACTCCGGAAATATTGAACCAAAAACAGGGATATCGCCGCGGGTGGAATTACNGGGGGGGGGGGGGGTTTATGCCTCCCTCAGACATCTATTTTGCCCGTTCCAAGGAATGTGCAGGATTACATTTATGCTAAGTATGCAGAGCATGACTAGGGTACACCTTCCATCTTTGAAATTTTAATTTACTTAATCAAATATTCTGTGAGAATCACTCAAAATTGCTTCTAAGACGACTCAATTTTTCAAAATTTTACAGGAGAGGCTCCCGGCCTCATGAAAGGAAATGCCCCGAACCCTCTTGTGGAGCCAGGAAAGTTTCACAAACCTCTGTTACTGGGGTTTCTCTCGGTGCCCCTTATGATGAGGTACCTGTCCACCCCCCTCCCCCACAAACAGTTCCTAGTTTTGCCCATAGATATTGCTTGCCAGGAAGGAAAGTGTTTTATTTGAAAGGACTGCTTTTCGCCCTGAGGCCTGAGAAGTAATCGTGACTCAGCGAGCGAAAATAGTGAATGATACGACCTCCTTGGAGGGAGCAGCAATATGTAATTTAAATGGGTCCTTGCCTTGCCCCCTCCATGCCACGTAAAATTTTGCTGATTACGCTTATGCAAGAGAGAGTCAATTTTTACAACTTTAAAGTTGCACCCGAAGAAAAACTCGCACCTACTTATAAGTCAAGAATAATCGGTTTTTCAGGTTTTATGCAAAATATTCGTAGGTTGATGAAAATAGAAAAATATTCGAAGAGTGAACCAGATTTTTTACGAACATCTGTACCTAATATCACATGCCAGATTCAAGATCATTGTGACAGGCAAGATTTTTACATTTTTTTGTTGGTTGGGGGGGGGGAGGGGAGGGGGTTATAAGTTCAAACGTGTCTTGGCGTTACTACAGTTAGTAGGAACCTACTACCTACCTACATGGCGTGGAAGATTAAAATAGGTAATTACCTATTTGTAGGTACTAACTGTGATGGACCCAAGCATCACGCATAATTAATAATTATCGAGGGGTACGATCTGTTAATGTAAAAAAAAATTGACAAGTAATAATTAACGGCTGCTTCCAGCAGGTCTAATTCAAGAGAGAGAGAGAGTAAGTAAGTCCTTGTCCATGCCTATTTGTCAAGGAGCGCCTCGATTAGAAACCACCAATAATGACAATATTTGAATTGGTTAATAATCCGGATTTTATTATAGATTTGGCAATGCGATGTCCGCTGATAGATGGAAAAATTCGTTGTTGGTGATAAGAAACGAGATTTGCTGGACACCAAGCTCAAAGTTCATCTGTAGTTCGATAGATCGATAGTATCGGTAGCCTTGAAATCGAGGGATCGAAGCCTCTAATGGCCGCTTTTCGATATCGATTTCGATGTTGTGTTAAAGGAAATCTGGAAGTAGGCTATGTGCAAGTCCGATTTTCAAAACAAAATTTGGTCAGTTTTTTAAGTTTTATCGGTCAGTTTAATCGTGCTGTTGTGATTTTCGTACCTACGAAAAACCGCCGTGCCAATGACGGTCCAAACTTTTGCTTTTATATTCCCTAAAGATTTCGTTTCAGGGAAATAGTGGTGATTACCTCGGACGTCGTGTTAACAGTTTCCATAAAAATTGCGTGTTTTCCTTGCTTTTTCGTATGCTAATCTTTAGTTGTGTGTTGGTTCCAGTGTCTAATTACGCTGTGTGTGTGTGATTTATAATTTTAGTGCGCCCCAATTCTTCGAAAAATGGATAAAAAGTTGTCTGCCAAACCTGTGAAGGAGAAAAAGAGGTACAGTCTGTCTACTATCTACTTCTCATGCACCTGTATTTTTGGGCTTCCATGTTACCTCATGTCATTGCCCATTTTCTGTTGTTTGTTTCCACTCACAATTTTCTTCCCCGAACATCCTCTCAAACGCATCATTGGCCTAAACTGTCTTGGTAGGTTTATTACGCTGAGATGCTAGCCGTGACAGTATCTTGAAGGCCCTTTTGTTAATTACAGCGTATTCAGGAAACTTAGGATGGTTGTTGCCATGCATTTGATTAGGTCGTCACCACTTAGAATTCATGATGTGAATTGCAGTATGAGGGTGGATGCGGCCGAGTTGTTAGGAACCGCACACCCCACGGACACATGGTTCCTCTTCTGTCCATGAAGTCCCTGATTTCACAGGACGGAAAGTAGCGTTCACTGCTTCAATATTATGCTCAAATATATCAAATTGCGCATCCAGTTACTGCCTGTCAAATGATGGTCACTGTGTATTGTCCATGATGAGTTTTACTATCGGTGAATAGTTGATCCAGAATTCTTGCCTTAGAAAATACCTATGCAGCCCTCTGCTTGTGGTCTGATCATTCTTCAACTAAGTAATCTCTCTTTTATTGCGCCATGAAAGATCACGAGTCAGTTATCTTATCTGTATTCTTGATCGGTAAGAATGTTTCTTCATTTTTAGTCTGGAGGGGGTTTGAATCGGACTCATGAATGGTGAATAGAGGTCGTCTGATGAAATATTTTGATGATGGTACTGTCTCTTAGTTCAATGGTGTGTGAATTTTAAAGTTCTATTTTTCGTGTGAAAAAATAAGTTTGAATGACGTCTAAGTAACTGTACCTATCTCACTCTTTACGGGAATCGTCTATTTGCTTGAATCTGAAATCCCATGGATTAATTTTTAGACTTTAAGTATATTTATTATAAAAAATAGGTCCTCCCAAGCCATTGTCACTTGACGAGTCTTTCCTTCTTCACAGGCAAAGTGTTATGAGGCAGCTTTTGCTTATGACCATCAGAAGAGTATGAAGCT